CGCCTCCATGTCATCTTTGGTCTTCCCTTCTTACCTTTTCCCTGTGGATTCCACGTCAAAGCCTGTCTGATGATGCTTGTCGGGGGATCTCCTCAGGGTGTGCCCTATCCATTTCCACTTCTTCACCTGTATGTATTCCTTTACTCGATCGTATCACTTGATCCCCACTATCCTTCTTAGTAATCTTAGACATCCATTTATGAAGCTCTGCAGTTCCCTTGCTGCTGATGCTGTGAGCCTCCATGTCTCTGAACCATACAGTAGAACAGTCTTCATGTTTTTTGTTGTTGACGATCCTCAGCTTGGCGTTCAATCCCAGTTCCTTAGACGTCCATATATTCCTGAGAATGATGAATGCTGCTCTTGCCTTTTGGAATCTGACCTTGATGTCTTCATCTGTTCCTCCTGCCTTGTAGATGACACTTCCCAGATAGGTGAAGGATTCAACATCCGCCAATGGTGCCCCTTGCAGTGTGATAGGAACGTCGGCTGCATTCATTTGAGGAACTTTCATCTTATCCGTGTGCATATGGAGTCCAACACTACGGGAGAAGGTCCTGAGGCGATCTGTCTTCTGTTGCATCTGGGCTCGACTGTGAGAAAGAAGTGCCAAGTCGTCGGCAAAGTCCAAGTCTTCTAACTGACTGGAAAGGGTCCACTGAATGCCACCGCGTTGTCCCAATGTTGTCTGTCTCATATCAAATCCTCTGCTAATAAAAGAGAAAAGGCGATAGCAGGCATCCCTGTCTCACATTTGTTTTCACTTCGAACAAGTCTGTCCACTGTCTTCCAAGTAAAACCCTGCAGCTCATTCCCTCATATATCTTCGTGATCAATCTCACGAACTTGTCAGGTATACTGTAGTGGCGCATGAGTTTCCATATTGGGTCCCTATCTTGGCTGTTAAAAGCTTTCTCGTAGTCAACAAAGTTAACGTACAGGAAAGAGTTCCACTCTATGGACTGCTCCACTATTACCCTTAAAGTTGCAATCTGATCTGTACATGATCTCTTTTTATGAAATCCTGCCTGCTCCTCTCTTAGTTTTATGTCCACGGCTTCCCTCAGTCTTTCCAGTATGGTACTACGAGGGCTGTCCCGCGGAAAACCGGAAAAGGTCCGTAAAAGCAAAAATCTTTGTCTTATTATAATAAAACTGTAACACATCATACCTCAACATGTGATTTATTTCTCAATGTAATCACCATCCCCCTGGACACATTTTTCCCATCGCTGGATCTGGGAGAAGATACCCTCCCTGAAGAATCTTTCGTCAAGGGCTTTCAACCAATCGTTCACGGCTTCCACGAGGTCTTCGTCGTCGGTGAATCGCTGTCCAGAAATATGGCGTTTCATTGGTTCAAAAAGGTGATAATCTGACAGGGCCAAGTCAGGGGGGGGGGGGGGGTGTAGTAGAACTTCCTAGCCGAACCTTTGGAACCAGTCTTTCGTGACGTTTGCGGTGTGTGGCGTTGTGTTGCCATGCTGCAAAATGACCCCGCTGGTCTTTTTCGGCCCCAACCCATCAAGCAGAGACCTTTCAATAGTGCAGCTCATCAAACTCTATCTTATAGACAGTCGACTTTGAAATGTTTAGCGACTCGCAAATTTCGCGAATTTTTAGGCGCCTTTCTGTTTGAATAAGTTCGTTAACGCGACTCTTGTTGTCCTCAGTCTTGGCAGAAAAACAAGATCCTGGGTAAACTTTGTCATTGATATCGGAGTGCCCGGCTTTGAACTTACTACATCACTCATATACCTGTGACTTTGCCATTACTTTCTCCCCATAAACTGACTTTATTTCAGGGTGTATTTCTAGGGGTTTTAGACCTTTTGCGGTCAGAAACCGAATGACAGACCTCTCTTCTACCCTTGACCAATTTTCCAAGGGGGTAGCCATCTTTTGAGAACTGCTGTGCTCGTTTGGTTTGTGCGATGCTCATGGTGCTCAATCGGGAAATTTCTAAATGATTGTTTTACAAGTGTGCGTTTACAGAATGTGAAAATATTGAATAGTTTTCAAATTACAGCCTAATTCCGGTTTTCCGTGGGACAGCGCTCGTACTTAAAATCTTCCCAGGAATGGACAGGAGCATGATTCCTCTGTAGTTTTTACACTCGTGCAGGTCTTCTTTCTTGGGTAGTTTCACAAGCAATCCTTCTCTATAATCCTGTGGAACGACAAGCAGAGGCAGTCCCAACAAGGCGACATTGTAGGCCTACAAACTACAGGGCAGAGAAGGAGGCTCTAATACATGCAGCTAACGTCATCAAGAATGTGGTTGACCCCCAAAGCCAAGTAGTATTCCTAATTGACTCCATGTCAGTACTGCAGGCAATCTCTGCCGGCAAACTACCAAGGCTATGAGAAGTGATTGAGGACATCCCATGTCTGAGGATCATGCTGCTGTGGATTCCATCTTACTGTGGTGTCTTAGGAAATGAACAGGCAGACAGGATGGCCAAACTTGGAGCGCAGAAAGAGCAACCAGACAACAGCGTAAACTACACATAAATAAAAACTATAATAGATACCCTTTTTAAAGCACCACAGACACCAGATGGCTACCATGAGCTGCCCCGCCAAGAACAGGTGATTATCTTCCGACTAAGAACCTAACACACAAGACTGAGACAACATATAGATGTTTTAAACTAGCACAATCACCAAAATGCCAGTGTGGACCAAACTGTTGACACCTCCTTCACACACAGGGCCCTGAGACAGGAAACGTGGCCAACCCCACTGACACTACAAGAGAAGCTATGTAGGCCGACAGATAAACTGAGCAGAACAGCCCAATTTATGACAGATACCAGACTTTAAGTGTGATGCAATCGAGAAGAAGAAGAAGATCCTGGGGAAATTCTTCGCCGGTCCATATCTAGCCAATAATTCCACGAAGAATCCCTGCCCCAGTGTCAATATCCGCCTTGAGAACTTCTGGTCCGGCCGCCTTGCCTGATTTCTGGTGTCTTATCACCTCCTTGATCTCCTCTAAACTAGGTTTTTCTTCACTCACCCCCAGATCGATCTCCGCTGGTGGAATGTCAAACTGTTTTTCCGGCCTTGTCTGTTCAGTAGCTCTTTGAAATGCTCCTTCCAGCGTTCTTTCTGTTCGTCTGGATTTGTGAGAAGCTTTCCCTCTTTATCCTTAACTGGCACATCTGCGTTCCTGTATCTGCCTGCAAGTTTCTTGGTGGTTTCATACAGTCCTCTCTTGTTTCCTGCCCCTGCTGCTTCTTCTGCCTCGCGCGCCAGGTCATCTACATAGTTTCTTTTGTCTTTCCGTATGTTGACTTTTACATCCTTCATTGCTTTGGTGTATTCTTCTTGGGCCTTTGCTTTGGTTGCTCTTGTCTTGCTCCTGTTTACCTGATCCTTTTTCTTTTTGCTGTCCGTTATCTTCCTCAGAGTGGTGGCAGATATCCACGGCTTGTGCCTACATTTCCGCTTCCCCAGTACCTCTTGACACACAGTGGTCCAGCCTTCTTTTATTGCCTCCCATGTTTCTTCCACACTGCTGTCCTCGTCGAGCGTTTCCAACACTTGGAACCTGTTTTAACTGCGACATTGAACTCCTCTCTTGACGATGGCTCTCTCAGAAATTCCACGTTGTACCAGCACCTACGATTGACGGTCCCCTGTCTTTGCTTTAGTTTTAGTCGGATTGTTGAAATGAGTAGATGATGGTCAGAAGCTTCATCTGCACCCTTGTAAACTCTAACATCCCGTACTGATCTCCTAAATTTCTTGTTGACACATATGTGGTCAATCTGGTTTTCAGTTTGTCACTGCCTACCTTAGCGTTGAAGTCTCCCATTACAATCAAGATGTCCTTCTTTCTAACCTGATCAATAGTATTTTGTAGCATTTTATAAAAAGTCTCTTTCACATCCTGGTCCTTATCATTGGTGGGGGCATATCCCTGGATAACATGAGGGTTGATGTCTTTCTTCTGTGAAGGGAATTCAGCTGATATTAGTCCCAGACCCTCTGCTTTCATACTATTAAAGCCCGCTTGGCCTGTTTTGATAATAGAATACCTACTCCTTCTGTATGTGGTGAGTTTTCCTCCAGATGTCCAGAGTAAAGAACGTGTTTCCCTTGAAGCAAGTTGGCACTCCCCTGCATTCATCCATCTCGTCTCACAAAGACCCAATATGTTCACTTGGTAGGCCTCCGTCTCTCTTGCAACCTGCAGTGCCTTCCCTGCCTCGCACATTGTATGAACATTCCAGGTGCCAAGTTCTGGTGGTTCTTCTGGTCGACAGGAGGTTTCTCGGCTTGGTGGCTTCCTTTCGGTTTTCACCTCCCTGCGTCATTCTACACTCCATTTTCTCTCCTTTCTTCAGTGATGAAGGTCCTCCATCTTCCAGAACCGACGCGCGGTCGTGTTGTTTTTGCTGTTCATGTTTTTGTAGCTCTGTTTTTGTTTTATGGGAAAGGGCTGCTAACTCTTTGCCCAACCGACCTTAGTCGCCTTCTACGACATGCGAGGTACGGATAGATTGGTCCTATTCTTTGCTCCCCTGTCTCTTGGACAGGGCCCTGGGAACCACACGGGAGATAGCTGGGGCCCACTGTTTGAAAATTGTTTGTTGAATTTTGCATGAACCAAAATCATAATTTAGCTTAAATCAAAGTGACTGGGGAGTGTCTTTACTAACTCTGTGTATGTTGCAGTCCCATACTTCCCAGGTATTTTAGAGTACCCTCATGTTTTGACTCTGATTATCTCTTGTTGTATAGCCCAGTACATGAATGTGTTGAAACATTTCCTTCAATAAGGACATGGTTCGACCTTCCCATCAAAGGACAGAGATGGTATGGAGACATATCCATGAACTAATGTTAATTTTTTTTCTTCTAATCTCTCAATATTTAATGAATAACTGAGGCTATTTTTGTAGCAATGCATGGACAAGAAGAATCTTTTTCGATTCTTTCCTTTTTTAGTCACCTTGTAGTTAACCCTTATATTCGTTGTATTGTTACAGGTTTTTCAGAGAGATACAGAAAGAATGGCAACTAATGAGGTCGACCCTACTGATACAGAAGTGCTGCAATTCAGTCTCACAGATCCAGATCATTTATCAGAGCAACTGGATGCTGCAAACTTGAATGATGAAGAAACTGACCTTCTTTTTCAAGAAGCAGTGAAATTAAATGCTCATCTGAAAGAAGTACTTCGTCATCAGCAGCTTGAAGAAGGACAAAGTAGTGTATGTACATTAGACTTTTCACCTTGTTACACCTTGTAGAATTTGTGCAGATTTTTTCTCACCATTATTCATGTCTTACAGGCATTGCTGTTGATCCATTCTATCATTAAGCATTTTAGTGAACCGTATGGCTGAACACAAAGAATATGATTCTATCTTGCTCATAAGGTTTTGTGACTCTGAGATCGTATCGTGATTTTGGCAGTTCTCAACAGAGGGTATTGCTTCTACAGTCCAATCCATTTATAACAGCCTCCGTTATTACAGAAACTTGTATATAACAGTGATAGATCAAATACCCTTTTTTTTCTCTCTATAAGTGTAAGTAATATGAACTTGACTATAACAGGGTTCAATTTGCACAAACTCGGATATAACAGTGATCTTGCAGCACTTGCTTTCGAACGGTCAACTTATGAAAATTTGTCTCAGCCAAGATATTTCGCCTGTTTGTATGATCGCTTGCCTAAACACAAACTTTCAAACACATACCCCCCCCCCCCCCCATTGTGCTGGGGTCACTGATCGATTCCGTCTCAGTGTCAGCAAAACAGCCCACTGGAAAAGGATCTGCGACAATTGAATATATAATATAGAGTAAGCTGAAGGTGCAATGGTACTAATAGTTTCCCTTGATAACGGTTATAACAGGACTTGCTTATTACAGGGAAAAACTATGGGTCCTGTCTGTCCTGTTATATATCTGAGTTTGACTGTATCAGCTTTTGTGCACACTTTTGATTCATGATTTTTATGAGAAGTAAGACAACTTTATGACGATTACTTTCTTGTTGTGATCTTATTGACTAGAAGTAAAGATACTCCCCTTTGATAATTAAGTGAATTTCAACCTTGATATAAAATCTAACTTCCAGGCAAGCTCTATACTCTCCTCAAAGTCCTTGTCTTGAGTTTAAGCATTTTTCTTTAAAATGGACATTGAATACTGGCATCGGCACGGGTTGGCTCTGAAGGCAGGGTTGAAGCGTGCCCCCTGAATTATTATTAAATTGTGTGATGTGGGCTAAAAAACAAAGATTTTCTTTTTTTTTAAAGGGCCTTGAATAATTTGAATTAAAACAAGCACACAGCTGTTTAAAAATTGCACAAACGCATATGGTTTATAGGTGAATTTAAATCTTTTTCACTCAGGTTATGACATATTAATCATTTTTGTATCCTTAAATGTATAGAGTTCATTAAAATGAACATTTAGTATGATTAATGCAAATATCAGAAGTTGTTCACTTTTGTTGGATTTTTAATATTTTTTTTATGTGCACAAAATTTGGCAAAACACCCCCTTTTTATTAAATTGTGTCACAAATCTTCCTTTAAACAAGTTTTTTCCCCCCCCCTTGTTATAAAATATCAGATTTGAACTGACCTTGTACTTGTAAATGTATGGAGTATATAATATTGTTAAGAACATTTTAACGTATGATTTCTATTTTTGGGGGGTTTTCTGTCCACCTTTATGGGTGAGAATAACCTATGTCTCACTATTCTCACCCCCTCCTCACTATTCTCACCCCCTCCTGGTGAGAATAGCTCCCACCTCGGAGTAGGCATGAGGCGAGGACTCTCCCCTGACCTCTCACAGGCCGATAAAATCCCCTAGGCCCTTGGTGGCTTACCGCATGTGGTTGGGGACGAATAATAATAATCTAAAAATAATTTTTTTTTCGCCTCTCCAGTAAAAAAAAAGGCTCACTACCGACACTGAGCGGGATGTGGGACCAGCCGCTGGCCGGACCATTTGCTGTTTACTCACTTAACGATGGCTGGCCTCTCTGCACACAATACATTATGGCTCAAGGAACAGAGAGCGTTTACGAACGTAACGAGACACGAGCACGAGACTATGCTCTTGCATGACAGTTGAAGGGTCGTAAATTATTCAGACCAATAAATGGGCGAGGGCATTAAATCGTGTTAACTAGTTTAATAATTTTAAGCAACCCAAGCTCTTTTCTTCACTTTCATTTTTTTTTCTTTTATAATTCTTTCTTTTTCTTTTTTTTTTCTCTTGCCTCATCTGTCCCATTCTGATTGAACATTTGGAGTTTGGAGTCAAAAAAGAACCAGAGAGCCAAATGAAATTCTCCGGGCCAGACGCGATCCAAAAGAGTCAAATTTCTGGGATTTGGCTCCAATTTGACAACCCTGACTGTGACTAGATCTATGTCTATTTGAACACCAACACGATCCTGTGGAGCATTAGCCCCGGTAACCTCAGCCCTGATCCCTCTTGGGTCATTTCCGGTAAAACGGGGTGAGAATAACCACTTCCTTTTTTGTGTGTTATGGCGCTCGCAACTGCATAAGGTCATATGAGCGGGCGGGACACATCTAATCTAAATATTTTCAGTTGGTAGAAAAATTTTGAATTTTGCCTTGGTGGCGGCCGAAGCCTATGATTTCTAGTCTAGTCCAATTTAAGTTGAGAGAGAGAAAGAGAGACAGACAGACAGACAAAGAGAGAAACAGAGTTAACTGATACTTTCATTAATTTTCAGGGAAAAATCTTATTCATTTATTCTCAGTAGGCCTTATATTAGGGTTTTTTTTGGTCTTTCAGAGTAAAGCGAAAAGTAAAAAAGCATATGGCCAAGGACATCCCCTTGCTGCTCCAAAGGCCCCAAGAAACCCAAGACAGTCCACTCTTCCACCTATTGTTGCCACAAGTGAAAGGTCAAGAGAAGGTTTAAAGAACAGAGAAGCCAAAACAAAGAGTCTTTCAGATGCACCACGAGTGGTATGTTGTTTATATAGGAAAATGCTCTTTCATTTTACCAGCTGATTATCTACAAAGTCACATCTAGCTTATCATCTGGTTATCTGGAGGTGCTTTTTCTAACTGCTTCATATTTTCAATTGTATGTTTTTGGATATACAGGAGTTTGCGAAACCCACTAGATACTATCTCGACAGAAGCAGCTCAGCTCAATGGAATAAATCTTGTCTGTTATTTCCCACAAGAGGTTCACAAGGCTACCTGGGCTAAGGGGAAGGCCATATGGAACCTGGAGAAAAGTCACAGAGATTGATGTACAGGAACATGGGAAGACATGGAATACTGTCAACAGGTTATGGAAAGGTGGATAGAAGTTGTTCTTGGCTTATACCCTGATGCAGGGTCAGAAAGGCAGTTATGATGATTATGACTTAGCCAAATTTGTAGTGGTACTCAGGAAAAGATTTCTGCTACCCGCCAGTTTTGTTATATGTGTGCTAAACTGTACTTGTCATGAGCTTAGCATCAGTCTTTTAATATAATCTCAGAAAAGGCTCAGAAGCAAATCTATACTCATATATATCTCCTTTTCATTGCAAAAGTGCCTCTTTTTAATAATATCATGTGAATTGGTAACTCAGGGACGTTGAAGCTCATGTCTTCACTTGGAGCGTGAAAGCCCTACATTGCTATAATTATTAATAAGCAGAACTAAGTCAAACTCAAACATTGTACAAATATGAAAACATAGATAATACAGATGTTAAGGAGCTATTGCTTTCTATGATCAATTTTAACAATTTACCATGGAATGTAGGAAATTTCAAAGACAAGTATACATTTTGAAAAGCAGGAAATTTTTATTTGTATGAAAGAGAATCGCATGGAAACAATAATGGTTACTTGATAGTTGAAGAACACAAAAGATAGGTCAAATGACTGGTGGATGAGAAAAAAGTAGAACTTGCACACTGCACCAGCCAACCACAAACATGAAACAATTTTTAAAAAAAAGTTTTAGTGAGAGTTTTACAGCACTTGCAACACAATAAGGTCATATAAGTGCATTAGATTAAAGTTGTTGCAAGAGAGTAACAAATACAAAAAAGAAGGAGGAGAGATCAGGACGGTAGATGAGAAATAAAATGAAAACTTATACTACACAAAGAACAGCATGCTTCCATTAAACTCATATAGAGATGTATATTTTCATTGTAAATATGTTCTGAATTTGACAGGTTTAACAGAAAGGAGACTATATCAACACTCAGAAGAAACAGAGGCAGATGTACACATACTTTCAACCAGTTGGAGACTTACTTTGTGCTCATTTACAATAATATATATTTGATAACCAAGTTCACGAGTTTACCCAGGGCCTAACCATTCCGGTTTTGGTTATGATCAATCCTTTATTTATTTCACAATAAGTATCAGAAGCAAGGAGTTTCAGTTATTAAACTCTTTAAAAAAAAATTCTTTCCTGACCAGGGTTCTGCTTCAAAACGCAAAGGCTCAGCTAAAAAGTCTGTTGCAAACAGGCCGGCATGGGATGACAGATTCTCATTCAGTTGAAGTTCAAAGTTGGAGTTCTCTGGACACGGACTTCTGCGTGTGCAATTTCTGAGTCACAACACACTGAGATGGCAATCTCCAGAGGCATATCACACCATGACTTTTCCCCCCATGTTATAATGAGTGTGCTGTGCTTAGAAAGTGGCTTATGTGGTCCCTGAAAATTGATAATGTTGATATTGTTAGTGTTACGTACTGTGACTGTGAGTAAACACGCCTCTCGTGTTTTTATTTTTAATGTTTTGAATTGACTTATTGTGTCTTGTTGAAAATATTAAAATATATGTCCTGTTGATAGTTTATTAAGAGATGGTGACATGGGCAAAAAGAACTCTCCTAAAGCCTAAAATCTCATTCATCCTTTATCTGATACCAATAAATACACAATTCAGACAAAAAATATTTATTGTCCCAGGGATTCTCTAGTGTCTCCATTTCTGTCTGTCTGTCCTTCTGTCTGTCTATCTGTCTGTTTGTCTGTCTGTCTGTCTCTCTCTCTTTCCCTCTCTCTTTCTCTCTTGATTTGTAGGAGTCGGGTATATCTTTGAGAACAATGCATTGACGAACTGTTGGCATAATTTGGACAATAGATGAACAACTTTCATCATGACCTCTGCTGTCACATAAAACTCTGTGCAAGCATTTGAAAGTACTTCTTTCTTTACTAATATTCAATCCATAGGTATATGAGTATGTCTACTGTTGTATTTGTCTATACACATACATAGTGAAAGCATGAGCCGTGTAGATGAGCACTTTTGTCATAAGAGGGAGTACTACAGTATATAAATATAAACAGTTTCGTGACAAAATGCAACTAATCCATTTTTCCAGTTTTGAGAATAATGAAGATTTCTGTTCTTCACCTAATTACTGAACAATCTCAAGCAAATTTGATTTTAGAGTAGACATGATGTGTTAGGTTTAGTTGATATATGTTGTTTGATGAAATCCACTTTGAATTCTTATTTAAATTTATGATAATTCCTTCAAACATTTTTGACAAAACGCAACATATTCACATTACAATAATAAGGAAGGGAAAGAACTACCGACAAACTTTCTTCGATCACAAGCAAAGAGATGGGATTTGAAGAAAGAACTTGATTTGGAGAACACAGATATCGTGGTTTGTCAAAAAAGGTCTACCGCTTTTGTCACATTTTGTTTTTTAAAAAAGCGTGACTTTTGCAATTTTTTTAACGAAGAAAAATCACATTTTGTGAAAAAAGAAGTTGACCCTGAAATGTGCCTCACCTTTCTAGATCTAAATATATGACGCTGCTAAACGTCAAAACTGGATTTTGTCGCGTTTTGTCGTCTTACTTTTCATATGTACCATATGTATGTCTTAAGGCACTCACTGTGGGTGGTTGGTGGGTGCTCTGGTGTGGTTTGCTCCTTCTTTCCTATCAAACACCTATTGTCCTGATCTCTCCTCCTTTTTTATATTTGTTACTCTCTTGTAATACATCTAATCTTCGACACTTATATTATATGACCTTACTTATAGTGTTGCAAGTGCTGTAAAACTCTTAATAAAACTATTTCCACTTGAACACTCTAGAACTATTTAGAATATGTACTTCAAAACTCGTACATGAGGAAAAGATTTTGGTGTCCTGCCAATATCACAATGTGTGGGCCTGACTGTATTATGCATTGTCTCCTCTCCCATACCCTGAAAAATAAAAATGACCTTTAAATTTCTGCCTCTGTGCCACCCTTTTACCTAACATGACCTTACCCCAGCATGTTCCCAGATACTAATACTATGCATATTTCTAGATTGAATGCTTTCCTTGATGCCTGTGAAAAAAGTTTTAACTCTGATCAGTGACACAAAATGTGTACATGTATTGTGTTTTAAAAGCCATTGTAAACTTTTGATAAATAGTGAACTACTGTCCAAGTGTTGGCCAACTGTGCAAATAGTCAGTTGTTTTCAGTATTCACCAGTTGTTAAGACTCTAGTCTAATATACCTTCCTCCCATCCCCACCCCCAACTGAGTCCTGAGAAAAAATCAAAATAAATGAGTAAAGGGGCCTATGTGTGGAAAAAATTTTTTTCTCAACTTCTCCTTGTTTGGGTTTTAACCTCAATGGAGGTAATTTTTACAGTTTTTCAAATAATAATAATAGTGGGTAGTAGGCTACTGTTTAAAAACAATTTTCTTGAATTTGAGCAGTATCAAGTAAATATCCAAACTTCTGAGCTAGGCCATGCCTTGTGTGTTTGGATTGAGACTACTGAATAAATATCATTCTTCCACATTACAAACTGCTTTCAAGATACTATTGTGATTTTTCCACCATAAGGGTATAATTTACATTTGATCAAGATTCAGAGTGTTTTTCTAAACTGAACAAAGCTTACTGCTGGAGTTAACGGCAATTTTTCCATTAAGACAGCAGCAATTTAGGTACGCTTGGGTTTCTGTAATAAAATTATGCACAGTGATGTGAAAACTGAAAAAAATGGTTACAAAATTAAACACTAATAAATCTTCATCAATATCAGTCTGTAGCAGAGTTTTTGTCTTACTCAATTATAAGATATTGGGGTGCACAAATAGATCTACTGTCCCATTGTTCTTCCTCGTTTCTTTTTTAAAAATGTAAGTTCTATTTATATTCACAAGCATATTCACATTCAAAGGAAAATGGCCCTTCAATAGCCAAGTTTTCTCTGCCTAATGCTCAAGAACGATGTACATGTAGTTGTATGTATGTCATTTTCTTTGGAAATCTGCCTTTTAAAAAAATGCATATATTATGTATTTGCACCAGAATTTAATATTTTAATGGCACAAAGTATATTATCAGAAAAAGAATTGGTTCTTCCCACTTCTTTTACTCTTAGAAATATACATTTGAGCTTAGCTTTTCCGCGACTGAGAGAGGTTTTCCAGAATTTAATTTACTTGAACATGATTGTTAATCATGTCCCTATTCTTGATGC